TCTCTCTCTCTCTCTCTCTCTCTCTCTCTCTCTCTCTCTCTCTCTCTCTCTCTCTCTCTCTCTCTCCCCTCCAATTTAGCCACACATGCACACACAATGCTGAAGTGGTGCGAGACGTACAGGGTCCACTCAACACTGATGCACACACACACACACACCAGTTATTTCTTAACATCTGAAAAGAGGTTATATGCACTTCAAACATGCTTGCGCTGCTCCTCTGAAAAGCTCAGGAGGGATATTTTGAATTAATTTTACGTTAAAAGTACAGCCGTGCACTATATACCTGCTTTTCATTGTACTTAAACCACATGGCAGCAGCTACCTCCTAAAATCCTTGAGAAAGACATTAAAATGTCAATTAATACATTTCCGTCTTGCATATAGTATGTCCTCTTTGTTTCTCTCGCTATCTTACTATCCACATGACTTCATCTTCCAACCAGCCGGGTTGTTGGTCAGTTGCTCAGCTGTCTGTCCACCTTCTCCGCAATGATGTTACATATGACATGAATGTAAGCCGACCCTGACATTCATTTCCACTGGCTCTGGTCCAGGGGACAGGCTGTCTCTCGCAAGATCAAGGAGACGTACGCACACACACGTACAAAAATGAATTTTAGTGTTCGTTTCTCTGTGACTTGCTTTAATATTAATCATGTTAACAACAAAACTTTATTTTTTGTTAGACAAGTTTTCGGAGGGAAAAAAACACACACACACACACATACAGCACATATCTTCAACCTGACACTGTGTTATGTTCTAATGGGTGTTGCAGGAAACAGAATAAAGCCAGACACGCGCACACATAGCAGCTTAGAAGTCTTGGCAGGAATAGGATTTCATAGGCACACACACACACACACACACACACACACACACATGCAGCATGAAAGACTCCCTGTCTAACTATCTCTTTCTCTGTAAGCCAGTACCAAAGCTACCCAGATATTGCTCATGATCATTACCTTAGAGAAGACTCACAGGCACATTGTTGTGTTTTAAAAAATAATAATAATACTGTGACATTTGAATGATTTGACATTTAATCTTCCATAAAACAGTATCTATCTGCAGAAATGATAATGTCCCTCCAACAGAAACATATAATTTATTTTGGCTGTTTCAAAAGTTTTGATTGACTTGCTGAGTGCAGTGCCATAAACCTGCAAATAACCAAACAAAGGAGTGGCTTTAGAAACCGATTTTAAGATGAGGCATAGTTTTTCAAAAGACATTGACCAAAGAAAATGTTGATAAAGTTGCCCTGCCTTGTTCTCCTCTTCAGTGTTTCACCATAACCTGCTCTTATTCTCTCATGTTAGTCAATAATCCTTTTTCTCAACGTATCTTGTGTATTTCAGTTTGAAATGAACATGTTTTTTAATGTAGCAGAGCATAAAACTCCTACAACTTACCAGTAAAAAATACGTGTCAATGGTAAATAGACTACGCTTGTATAACGCTTTACAATCTTAACAGGAAAAAGCACTTGTGTCTGGTTATTGAGTGTACAACCTTGGAACCAAGATGTTTCTTGTGCTTGTTGAATAAAGACATCTATTAATGCCTTTTGAGGTCAGTCTTTTCAGTCTTACCAGCCTGTGCCAGCTTGTCATACAGAATCTAGGTACGAATTTGTGACACAAAACTGACTTTGGTTTGAAATAGACATGTTGCTTTAGAAACACGGTGATCGACCACTGTCCGTTGAAGTGGTCCACCCCCCTCTGGATATCAAAGGTGTTTTTTTCATTGTCCTCACTGGTGAGGGTCACTTTTATGTCATCTCTATAGAAAAGACTTCGTGTTGTCTCTCCATGCATTTCCTCTCCTTATTTCTTCTTGCCTGAGGTGAAAATGCACCTGTCTTACAAAGAGAAGAATGAAACCTACATACAAGTTCAGGTGGATTTTTATGTTACGGTTCATAGCATTTATGCCAGCAGGCACTTGTGCGAGCAGGTGTTATGCTGGATATCCATGGCAGTATGTCTCATTGGAGAATTAAACATGGTTTCATTTGTCAGTGTCAGTGCACTGCATATTTCTGCATAGATCTCCTTATTATAGGTTTGTTTTCCCATAATTATGACAGGCTAAGACACAACTAAGAGATGTGGAGGTTGTGATTTCGAGTATATCGGTTCCTTATGCGTATATTAATCCTGTTTTCTATCCTGTCAGTACAGTGGCAGCAAAACTGGGGCTTGAAATACAACTTGACAAACTTTTGCCTCTGGCCCAAATGCTTTCAAGGATTCTGAGGATAATCGCCTGGTCAACCTTGGTGTATTCTTAGAGTCTTTCTGAAGCATAGCAATCATTTGGTTTTAGTGGCAGGTCAGCAGTAACGTTGTGGAGATGAGTTAGCACATATCTGGGTCAACAAACTAGTTTGAATAACCACAGTCTTAAGAATGAAGTAATCCAGCTCACCACATCTGGAGTTCAGCTCAGTGCTGTTGCTGAAAACCAAGATGAAACTAGAGCTGAAACAAACTCTTTTCTGTCATTTTTCAAGCAGTACGTAAGAAACAAATGCCCGAAGCTTCTTAAATGGGAGGATATGCTGACATTCGTTGACGTCACTTTGGGCTCTGCCTGCGAGGCTTGTTAAAAAAAAATAGGCAGATTAGTCAAAAATGATTGAGTTGCAGCCCTGGAAGAAACCAAAACATCATATTCATTCAATCATTCATTCATTCCTTCTTCAAATAGTGGATGTCTCATTTTGCTATTCAATAGCTGTGCCTTCATCTCCTGTTGCCCCCGTTACTGTCAAAGTACACACATTTGTAGTTTATTTACGTGCAAAGACGAGCTCTACTGCAGACCACCGGGGTTTAATGAGCTGTAAATGGGAGTGGTTATGGTGCTGTTCTTGACCTCGTTTCCTTTACAGCACAATTTACTACACTGCTCAAAAGGAAGTGGGCTGCTCAGCACCGGGCTGCCATCCTTCCATCTCAATATCGGTGTTTCTTTCTTTTTTTTCTCTTCCTCTCAGTCGACATTGTACATTGTGTTGCCTGCCAGCATTGACAGCAGATGTGGTGGGGAATCATACCGGACGGAAGTCTCAAGGATTTCAAAAGGACATATTGTTTGGCCATTATTGCTAAAAAATACTCGGTGACAATTTTCAGTCGGTATATAATGCACAAATATACCATGTTTCTCAGAGCCCAAAGTGTCGTTCTCAAATTGCTTGTCTTGTCATTTCAATTATCTAAATGGCCAATTAATTTGTATCATTATATTTCTATCGATAAAATCAATTGGCTAATTATTATATATATATATATATATATATATATATATATATATATAATGTAATAATATATAATCATATTTAATAAAGTTGTTAAAGACTCATTAAGCACAATCAGCACTTTACTGTGACTTGTCGCATGATAGGAATCTTGTTTTCAAAAACTACAGAATTTATAACATTTCCCATTTTATTATTCTGTGTATAAGGTGAGAGACAGAGAGGGACAAATGGTTTTTCGGACCCATTGTTATTGCTTCTATAGTCTGTCCATATGAGTGGGAATTATGACAGTGTGTGGTCCTGCAGTGAGATGGTCTGGCCAGTCTAACTCTAGCGCATGGCTGTGAACTATGTATGTTGTCAGTGAAAGAGCGGGTGGGTGGGAGGGAGAGAGAGAGAGAGGAAAAGTGAATGTGGTCAGGAGAGAGAGCAAGGACTGTTTGCTGATGAGGGAAGGGAGAGAAGCCACTAGAGAGAGAGAGAGCCGACGGCTCAAATGTGGACAAGTGTACTTCGCTCTCCTCAGCACTGAACTGTCAGTGTGGAAGCAGAGTGGCAACCATGAAGCACTCTCACAGAACGGACTACAGGCTGATCAGTGAGTAGAGGAAATGTGAGTTATTGCAGTATGGATGCCGGTGTCTTCACACACGTCTGTTTAAGTGTATTTTTTTTTTAAATGTAGTGTCTTAATGTATCTGTTAATTGGAACCGCTATATGTTGCCTAGTGTGGTCAGCACTGAGCTGTCATGCATGTGAGAAATCAAAGAGGACTTCATTAATTTAACAAGAATACTTGAACCGTTTGTTTACATGCTAATCAGGGAATCTTATTATGATGGCAAGTCATTAGCTCAGCTGCTTGTTTAAGAAGTATTAAACATTTAGAGAGTTACAAATCTAAAGTGAGTATATAATGTCTATTGGTGATGATAGGTGTTGATAGTTTCTAGCTTAATTCTTGAAATGTCATTGTTAGTCATTTTTAAAAACTGCAGAATCTGCTCGATGGAATATGTAATTGGTGCGCGTTACTTTCCTTGTCTTTTCCGTCAGAGTTTTACTGTGTGCATCTTAATTGTTTTGGCAGGACTTGTGGTCTTTTGTGTTCAAATTGTACCTCAAAGTTCCATTTGTATATTCCTTAAATTCTGTGTTTTCACGTCGTTGATATAGGTTTTACTGCGTCACATGTCAATAGCCAGGTTTCCATCAAAATGGTTCTCAAATTTTAACCAGATTTCTGGAAAACCGGCAAGCAAAATGCGTAGGAACGGTTGTTTCCATCCATTATAAGGAGTTGGTTTATCGCTATAAGCAGTAGGTGGAGCCAGTTCCAACATAACTAAAGGAGTGCCAGTCAAAACTCAAACGATGAAAAATAATGTAG